TTTATCCACACTCCTGCTTCAATATTCAATAATTATGTAACAATTTTGCAACTTTTAATTGCAGCTTCTGGTCCTCTCCAGTGTATCAATTTATCTAACTTCATGAAAATAGGATTGTGCTAACAGCAAAAGAGAGTGGAAGGAAGTGATCATTAGTGGATATTTTCTCTAAAGTGTTTAGCTAATAAAATGAACAGTTTTTCACAATTTTTGCTTCATTCTGAATAATACAGTCATCCCTTAGATATAATTGTTCAATCAATGATCTTCATGAACAATATAAATAATATGTCCATCCATTCTTATATCATAAGATGAATTCAAACTTACGCCCTCTTTATAGGGAAACACAAAAACTCTATCTATTCTCGTACAGTTCTGGAATCCAGCTGAGTTATTAACATATGATGGAATAGCACTCAGTTTAAGGCTTTGGAAAATAACCCCAATAAAAAGTCTTTGCTTTTCTTAAACACTAGGGATTGAACCATGTCTAAGAAAATTGATTCAGTTGTTTTTATTTTGCTTCAGATATTGACCAATCTTTTTTTCCTTTGTTGACTACTTCTTTCAATTACCCTCAGTTAGGAATTGTACAATTTGTCATGGAAAACAGATGTTGTACTATTTTTAGGTGTCTGACCAAAAATTCAGATGAGCAAATTGTTAAATAGACAAGCCAGGGTTAAATTCATGGCTTTTTGCTTATTGCTCAATTTTAGTAGTTTTCTGGAAACCAATGATCTCCTGTGTTTGTTGTAATCTAAGGATATCCTCTTCCTTAATTGTAACATTTTCATTTTCTATCAAAGAGTTTTCTTTACACCAAATAGGTTGTAGTATATCACCCTCAATACGTTTTACAATAATACATCTGCTAGAATAAATCACTGTTTTTAAATTCCAAAAATGTTAAGTAAATAATGAGTCTAATATGATATTCCTAGAATTAAAGCCCATCATTCCCCTATTTTGGTTTAAGGATCATCTGTCTTAATGTTTTATTAGTTCTTTCAATGATCATTTGTCATTGTGGATTAGAAAAAATATTGAAAATGTCTAATATTTTAACATGGTAAATGTTTTACATTTTTAAAATATGTATCTATTTCATTGTTGAGGACCACTAATGACATTATGTCTTATTAAAAACATAATATAACTGATGAAGCATTTCATTTAAACATACTCACAAACACATAGAGTATATTACAATTTGAGTGGTAATTATTAGTAATCATCATGTATGAACAAACTCTAGTGCAGCACACTGATAATCAAGCCATTCCTGTGGTGGGAAGTTGTCTACCCAAATTCAACAGGGTATCCCCTATTTATATATGTATAAATAATATTGATTACGTTATATCATGGAAATGTGCATATTAGCAGCTAATTGATAGAAAAGCAAGGTCATTAACCCTATGAGTATATGTCAATGAGCACATACTAAATATTAATAGATCAGCCAATTTCCAGAACTTATGGAAACATAATATAGACTCTATGTGAGGGAAGCAAGGCAGAAGGCCATATATTGAATAAAGGAAAACTCCATCTACAAATTTCATAATTTCTTTCACCAGACATGATTGTTTTGCTATGTCTCAACAAATAGAAATGTGATGAAAATTAATTTGAGAAGGAGATAGCAAATTTCGAACCAGAAGTGCAGGTGGATAAAATATGGTGCTAGGCCTGGGGAACACAGTATACTTGCATTCCTTCTTGATGATGAAGGAGAAAGAACAACTGGTAAGGGAAGAAGGCTGTCATTCATAGGAGCTGATTACAGGGCAGGGGTCCAAATCTGGGATATTTGGATGTCAGTGAAATCCAAATATCCCAGACCCAATCTTCTTGTCTGCAAATCTGGAGGTAAAAGCTACCATTGCTTGCTGGTCTATTACAGTCTCAGAGAACCAACTACAAGGCTTCACACAGGGTTTGCAAAAAATCCATGGTGTTGGGAGAAACTAGACTTCTATCTGAGTTGGTAGCAAAAGGAACACAAGTATTCTAATGGTTCCTTTCGTTCTTTTCTCCTGTGGAATTCAAGTCTCTTTTTTCGTTACACAACAGTATTTAATTTCTTGAGCAAAGGATCAGAAGCAGAGTCATCTAGATAACACACATATAATAAATCTTTCTGTTTCCTAGCTAGTGCGGTAGCCAAAGCTGTAAAGTAAGACCAGCCATTATTTTTTTCTTACTAAGGAGATAGAGTATAAAGGATACTAGAGGAGTTATAAAGCTAACCTAATGGCGAGTCTAAAAACAGAGAAACTGAGCCAGGCAGTGGTGGCACACGCCTTTAATCCCAGCACTCGGAGGGCAGAGGCAGGAGAATCTCTGTGAGTTCTAGGCCAGGCTGGACCGACAGCATCCAAAACAATACAGAGAAACCCTGTATTGTAAAACAAAAAAAAAGAGAGAGAGAAACTGTGCATTATATTCTATACAATGTAGTAATAATTTTAAATTTATATTTTATTAACAATCTCAAAAAGTACCAGTTTCTGTTAGATTGAAATATTGAAATGTTTATGGAGAGATATATAATTGTTGTGTGAGACACGCAGGCTGTAGCTACTGTGCTGATGTGATGGTATAGCCACAGGATCTCTGTTGAGAGACTCCCATTTGTGCAGGTGTTAGAGGCTTGCAGACCATACTCATGCATTTTGGGAACATTTATTTTGCAACCAATTAGCAGGGGTATCTGGTCTAATCTGAACTTACTTTGAGATTGTAATCAGCTAATCGTTAAAAAGTTATGTTTGTGACTACAATGAAAAAGATTTTCTAAGTCATTCAAAGTTTCATGGAACAAAATTCCCAGCTGTGAAAGCATATTTTTTGTCTTCAAAATTACACATTTAAGATGAAATCATCTTCATGTCAGTTGGACACAGAAATAAATATGCCCCAAATTTGAAATATTTACTCATGAGCAAAACGTATTATCAACAGATGATGTTACAAAATACAGAAAGAAATGATCTGTATTCATAATTTGTGATTACACTGTCCATGCCTAATAGGACTCAACATCAGAGAGTGACTCATTTATTAGGCGGACCTGTTCAGTATTGTTAACTGTCTGCTGAATTTATTGCCATGGCTCCTGGCATCGGTCAACATTGCATGAGTAAAAACCAGAAAAATCTTCTAAGTTGCTGCTATGTGGTGCATTCAAATTGGAAGATTTGGTCCCATTAAGTCTCAGTGTGAATGAACTGATATTACCTTGATTATTAGTAGCCTGGAGTCTGAAACTGTTCTAAAGTATTGCTGTCATCACTATTGGAATATCTCCCACTCAGTAGGGCAAGTCAGAATATAATCCACTGAGAGGCACAGAAGTGAAAACCAGAATGACTCCCACTGCTCTTAGACTGTGTTAGCCTACATCAGTTGAGCATATTTCCAAAAGTAACCTGGCTTTACAGTATACTACTCACCATTTCATAAGCACAAAAGTCATTGTATGTAAGGAATTTTGATGGCCTCATTAGTTAGACTGATGTAGCTATGAAGGCAATTGATATATGAAAAGCAACTTGGACACAGAAACGTGGAATCTACACTCTATGTATTTTATATTTACTGGATTATATAAGATGAAGTAGATGCTCAGCCAATTGGCTTCTAAATGTAAGATGGGTGCTGGTTACGAGGTAGGTTCTGACTTGCAGTGCAAATTCTCATATCAGTGAAAGCACAAACTCACTGAAAATTGTTCCCAAATTGCAATGTACTGACATGATGATACTGTCATCCTTACATTTATCCTTGTATCTCATGAAGTTGCTGATTGATGCTACATTCTCGTACTTTGATTGTAAATTTTCATTGAAAGGCCACTAATTGATCAATACTATGGTAAATCATACTAGAAAATCAACTTATTGGCCAAAATAGTCCGTATACCAACAAGTTTCAATCTGATTTAAAGACTGCCATTACAACAATGTCATTTCTCTTTTTCTTGTCACTATGCAAATTAATAGAAATCTTCATTTTGTTAAAAAAATCTCCATGTGACAATTCTCTGCACTATAAGTACTTTCAATACTGTACTTTTCCACACAATGTTTCCTATAATTTCCTCAATTACAGCTTTACTACACAGCTTGAAAGTCTTTAGCACATGCATGCTGCTCTATGGGCTGATAGGGAAGGATCTGGAAAATCAATTGTTCTGTTTCCAGCAACAAATTGTATATAGAAACCATTCTTGTGCTTTTTGGAGAAAGAACGCTGTGTATCAGTGTACTGAAGTAAACACTAAGAATAACCTAATTCTAATGTGTACTTCATGAAATAGTAGACTCCTCATGTTAGTAACCTTTGTAATATCATGATGAAAATACTTGATAGAATCAATTTAAAAATCACAGATTTCATTTCTGTCAGCTTTTCAGAGCTTTAAGGACATAAATAGAGGGAAGGCACTTGGAGTCACTCCATTAGCACCATGGTGGACATGAAAGAAGAGCTCAATTTGAAACTGCAAGAGATAAAAAAATTCCAAAGTGTCTCTCCATTGAACTACCTCATTAAGTTTGAGCACACACAACTAAGAATTCTAGAAACTACTATAAAAGTATCCAAAACTGGAGCCAAGTATTTACAATGTAAGCTTTATGGGATATTGCAGCATCAAATCAAAGCATGTCACAGACCATGATGTTTTGTTATCAAGACAGCAGTTTCTTGAATTAATCTTACTGGAGGTATCATTAGAGGTGTCTTGTTGCCATATGAGTCACTAGGAGTGGAGAATTTGGATGACATAAACATAAAAGAAACTGCTTCTAAATGAAATATAAGATATGCTCTCATGTCTGTGCTCATGGACCTGAGAGGAGGAGAGTTAAAAATAAAAGAGCCACATTGGCTGTTCTCTGCAATCCTCCAAAAGACCTACAAAGCCCAGCCAATTCTTGCAACAAAATGTTAGCAGGTGTAGGCACTACAACAAGCAGCTGAGGCACTCAGTCTTTCTTCAATGCACTCCTAAGAGGTTTTGTTATGACTTGTATCACTGTAAATGGAACATTTTGATACTGTTGACAATAATAAGTAGCAACATCTTCAAGCTGCAAGTTACTGATGGTGAGAGAGTAGTCTGTCCCAGATCCACTGCCACTGAACTTCGGTAGTATGTCTTTATGCAAGTTGGAAGTCTTATAGATTAAGAGTTTATGAGCAACCCCTGGTTTCTGTTGGTGCCAGGCTAACCAACTATTAATGTTCTGGCTGGCATGACAAGTGATGGTGACAGTTTCTCCCAGAGATGCAGACAGACTGGATGGAGACTGAGTCATCTGGATATCACATTTTGCACCTGAGTTTGGAAAAATACAACAAATGTCTAGTATTAACCATATTATAGGATAATTTCCATAAATAGCAAAGCAGTAATCACCACACTGCTCCCCCATTTCTGTCTTCCTTACCTGGAAACCAGAACACCAGCACTATAAGGAGCCCAGCTAGGACCACCATGTTGATGCTGTACCTTCACTGAGAATGACTTCCACACATGCAGTCCACACACTCTGCAGAAATACTCATAGTGGTGGGTTGTCTTCTGTCCATATGCAAATCAGCAAGGATGTGTTGGGGTGAAGCCATTTGCAGGATTGGCTGAGCTCATCTGATGGACTCAGCAAAAGCTTGAGAATGATTAGGTATTCAAAACAGCAGGAGACAAAACTGATTTGACTTCATATAGCATATTTTTTTCTATGGGTCAAAGAAAAGACTCAGGGTAGGAATATATAAGTGCTGTGTTGTATGTATTATTCTTGTTCTTCTTCATACTTTTTTTTGGTACATTCCTATTAAGGAAGGTGACTTACCTTGTTATATGATCCTTAAAATTTAAAGAAACCTTATGGATTCATGTGCACTTAAAAAAGAATATTGGAAGGCAAGAATTCTACCACTGAACCACCCATGCATTAACCCAGCCCTACACAAAGTTTTGGAAGGAAAACTCCAACTCAAGGAAGTTAACTACAACCAGAAAAACATACACATTCGAGAATCCCTCTCTACCAACAGCCAAAAGAAAAAGGGGTGAAATTTCACACATAATTACACCAACAACAACCATTGCAAAACGACGAAGAATGAGCAATCAATGGACATTAATATCCCTCAACATTAATGGCCTTAACTCACCCATAAAAAGATACAGGCTATCAGAAGGGATTAAGACTGGGCTGTTTTAACCCCAGAAACAGCTAACCTGACAAGGCTTAACTTTTGAATCCCAGGCATCAGTCTGGGCATCCAGCATGGGACCTCTCAAGACCCCCTGAATGTGGGTGTCAGTGAGGAGGCCTAGGTGATCTATTGAGCCTTGGGCAGTAGATCAGTACTCATCCCGAGTATACACATGGACTTTGGACTCCCATCCAACAATGTGAGATGCACTCTCACCCTGAAATCTTGAGGGAGGGTCTAGGCCATGCCCTGGATGAAATGACAGACTATTGACACCCCATGGAGATCCTCACCCTCCCTGGGGAAATCAGGGGACAATGGGGGGCTTGGGGAGAGGGCACAGGAGGAGGGGAGGGAAAGGGATAGGGACCTAGAATTGACTTGTGAAGCAACCTTGCTTCGAATCTAAATATCAACTTAAAAATAAATAATAAAAAAAGAACTGAAGGAAAAAAAGAGTAGCACTAAAAAAATTGTAAAATTTATCATAGTAGTTTTACTAAAAATAACAATGTATATTAAATTAGTCATAAACAAATCAATAAAACCCAATAAACTTCTACAGAGATAGAATGGAAGTGAGTGGATCTTTTCATTGAATTTTATACTTTCAAATGTATTTCATGGATCCTTCTCCCAAATCAAAATGGCCATTACAGAATTAGAAAAACAAGTACTTTATATCGTCTTTCATGCGTTGTGCCTTTTTAACTCATATCATTTTTGATCTTGTACTTTTCTTGAAGTGAAGATAAAAAACATTTAAATACCCCACATAAGCAAACTTGTGTTCATTCATTAGTGCTTTGTTAAGTTAGTTTAACCTAAGTCATTGAATATCAAGAATCACTTCAGTTTCATGAGCTAATTTCTTAGCTGAGTGCACATTGTACATATTTCATGATATTCTTTGGGTTCTTTAGGTTACTAGTCTTATCTTTCTGTCTTTACACATTATAACCCATCCTTTCAAAACTAGAGAAAAAATCCTAAGGAAAACTGATGTTACTCATGAAAATTCTTTTTTCAGTGCCATATGCTGTCATTACAAAATGTGCCCAGCTCCAAGGAGAATGCATATTTCCATAGTTGTATTCAGCTCATTGGAGAATAAATAAGGAGTTCAGAATGTTACTCAGGAATGGTTGTGATAGACGTTCTCTTCGGGGATGCATCCAGAGTATCATCAATAAGATGTGCATACTGTCAATATGATATTGAATGTTCAAGATGAGTAAACTTGATTTGACATGAGAGAAAATTCTCATGCATAGATGTCCCATCAAAGGAGAATCTTCAGTCTGATAGGCTGTCAAAGTCTATCTCTTTCCATGTGTTTATCCTACACTCTCCTCAGCCTAGTTAATTTTCCTGTTGCTGTAATAAAACACTCTCTCAAAAGCAATGGAAAATTCATTATTGCTTTCAGTTTAAGCATACATTTCAAGCCCTGGAAGTATATCTCATGAGATAACAGTGATGGCTGCTTTTCTAGAGAACATATATTCAATACTCTGTACTAATATAGAGGCTCTCAACACTCTCTAAAGCAGCACAAACGGACTAGATGCATTCTCAACTTCTAATGCACAAGACATACATGAGGCAGACACACATATATGTGAGCAATACCACAAGTGCTCATAAAATAAATACATTTAAAAAAATGTCATCATGGCAAACAAACCACATTTGCAGGAGTACAATGAAGTGGTCACAGGTCACAATAAGTGTACATTCAGGGCACAAAGAGAAAAATAAGGTAAGACACTAACTCCCAGTCTCTTATCTATTTTATACAGTCCAAGGTGTCCTGCATAAAGAAAATACTCACACAAAATTAAATAATTAGGAAGAAGGTAATCATAAAGCCCTACCCCACACAGAGAGTGCATGGGCAATTAGTGATCATTAAGAATAAGTGAAGTTATCATCCTCTATGGTGTAGGTGCTAGAAAAGTACTCCTGCTTAAGTAAATATGTCATTGCTATGCTTGTACAAGCAACCATAATTAACAGTATTTGATGCAAAATAAATGAGAAAGACGTGGACATAGAACATATTGTCGGGAAGGAGAAAAGGAATGCCATTGAGAATAGGGAGAAGAGAATATATTTAAATTTTGTGTGCATGTGTGTACATGTGTGTGGTTGAGAGAGAGAGTGTGTGTGCGTTTGGTGTCTATGTATGAAGATGAGCATGTGCATATTTACAAGCATTTGTAAAATTCAGAGTTTAACTTGTATACAGACATGGATCCCAATACTCCTGCTGCTGTACTGGAATGACATACTCTATGTTAGCTGTCCTACAAGCTTCCAGTGAAGCTTTAACTTATCAATACCTAGATTAACACTGTCCTATACACTTTGTAAATAGGTTCCATATATCAAAGGTATTAATTTTAGGTGACTTGGAAGACTTGATGCTCATCTCACTGAGCCATCTTCCAAGTTTGAAGTCATGTATTTTACCTGAAAAGTTTCAGTCGTAGTTATTTTATATTAAATTACCATATAGAGGATTGTATATATAATGAGTACAATTGTGATAGACTTTTATAAAACCAGAACTGAACTTAGCTTAGTTGCAATGAGCCAGCTGTTTCCAGATATAATTCTGATAGTTTAACTCCTTGCCAGCGTAAAAAAAATCCTAATAATGTACTTTTCACACGCACCGAGTCATTAGCATGACACTTACATACATTAATTAATCCAGTATTAAATTAATATCCTGCTCAATATTTATTTTGCTGATATTGATTGTCTTTTTGGCATATATATTAAGTGAATAGACAACTATGCAGGAATGGAGATGGAGACTATAGGAAGTTGTAGCCACAGGAGAGTTTCAGAGTGATATGAAGGAACATAGCTTGATAGAGCTCAGTGTTACAGATTAATTTTTTGGGACAGAGGACATGTAATGAGAAAGGTACAGTTATTCCATGCAGAAATCACCCTAACAATAGGCAAGACAATTACCCATTCCAGGTACATAGAGATGATGGTCACAGTAGATGAAAATGTTTCAGGGTCAGATAAATAGGATTGTACAGAAAGGGCAAAAAATTATCACCAATGCAACGTTAGGCAGAGAAATATTTGCATTCAGAATCAAGGCAAGGATGGAAGTTCATTTTCTTTACATGTGAATGGAGATCATCATGAACATTGTCTGTTCATGATAGAAGTAATAAAACAGAGCTATCATGAATGAAGAAGTGTAGACATACTGCTTAGCTGAAGATCACATGCCAGTGATCCAGATCATACTTTCATTATAAATAATGAATTTATGTTCCACTGTGCTTAGGT